ATGATGATACAGAAAATAATATTGTTACTGATAATGTCAAATATTATATATTTCCTAGTTTAACAATTGCAAATATTTCTGACTTTATTTTCAAGACTATGATTTTAACAAAAATTGAATATATTTTAACAATAACAAACATTTATCATTTAGAAATTTTTGAAAAAGAAATCTCAATTTCTATATGTTAGCGTCAACAGATGACACTATGTCAACGCTAACTTTATTGAACGAAGTTCAATTAGTTTCTTTTTATTTTCTCATTTGTCGGCGTCTTCCTTTTCGTTCTGTAGTTAATTGGATTTTTCTCTTTCGTTCGTTCAATAGTAAGATTTCTCTTTTTCGTTCTGTCTATCTCTCTCTTTAGAATTTTTTCTGATTTTGACATCGTTCAGTTGCTCTTTTGTTTCGATGCAGACCAGTAGCATTTACTACTAACTCTCCTGTGTGTGTGTTATTTTGTCTTCATGAAATAAATTATCCAGTTGAACTGATCTCACATCCCCTCCTTAGCTGATCACGTTACCTTTGGCCATCAAGGTAAGACCCCTTTATATTCTATTATAACATCATCACAAACGTTGACCTAACACTATATTGATTCAAATTCTTAATCTATTATCACAAATAATTACATTAAAAATTCATTCATTATCAACAAACAAAAGAAAATTAACGGATGAAGAATTTTATATTTTATATTTAGTGAAAAAGAGAAGTAAAATTACCAAAGTTTATCTTGAACAGATTAATAATGTTAAACAACTTAATGTTATTTTCAAACTTTGTCCATCTATGAAATATTTTAAAGTTGGATTTATAAATTTGTTGAATATTCAATTCTTTTTTCGTACTATTTTCAAGAAAATTAAATATAATAATGATCATCATCCTAATTCATTATGTCTTAATATTTCAACAGCAGATGATAAAATACTTGAAGATATTAAAGAAACAATTAAATATGAAAATCTACCTCCTCCTTTTATAATTAAACGTATATTAGATAATGTTTGTTTAACCCTTTAGGGACGGTTGGCCCCCTAAGGGGCCATGGTGATTCTCTAGCATTTCAAAACACACAGATTCCTATATGAGATTAGTTTTCGTGAAAGCATTTATCAGAGAGTTTTTTGGTTTAAATTTGGATTGTAATTAGGTTATTTTATTCAGATATCCAGTAATGGATAATAAGTTCTTTTAGAATATAGAAATGTTGATTAATTTATGATGAAATATACAGAAAAAAAATCCGTCCCCAAAGGGTTAAAATGGAAATGAATCAAAGACAATATCTTTCTTTTTTTTTTCTTTTTTTTCTACAATTTATTTAATAAATAAAATAAAATGTTTTGGATTAATCAAAAAAAATTCTTTTTTTATTCTCATAAATAATCGAATTACTTAGGGGTAACCCAAAGTTCGTAGCCCTATGTTTAAAATTTTATAAAATAGTTGATATCGAAAGTTTTATTGCATGAATACATAGTAAAATGTCTCGTCTACAATAATGTATATAACAGCTCTCTCCTAGAGTTAATTCTAATATTCTTTTAGATAAAATGTATGATAGGGCGACTATCTCTTGTCCGGTGTTCGGGCGTATTGTGAAACTTTTCATGGTTTTCCATCTCTCTCGTGTGACATTTGTTGATGCCATGTTCTGGAATGTTATATTTTTTATATAGTGACGCTAACTATTGTTATTTTCTTGTTGTTTTCCCATTTTCTTCTTATCGTGCTGTCCTTGACTTCATGTCAACTGGTCATACATATATCTATATATGTCTTGTTTGTTATGAATGTTCACCGTGCCAAGTTTATTACTAACAAGAATTTATTTCTCGACCAAAATTTCTTATTATTTTATTTTAAAGAAATGTATCTCCTATTATACCCTCGAACATTATTCGCATCTGTCCACACCACTAAGAAAAATCAAAGAGAGAAAAAAAAACAAAGAAAGAAAGAGTTGCGCGGATACATTCCCACTTTG